GGCACCTTACTTGCATTGTATCATTAGTCCTCACTGCAACCCAGAGAGGCAAGATGCTACAATTGTCCCCACTTTACAGATGGGGAAACTGAGGCTCTGAGTGTATCGGGAGCTTGCCCAAGTTATCACAGCCAGGGAGTGGTGGTATCAGGATTTGAACCTAGGTTTTTTCTATGTGCTTTCCCCCTATTTTCCTTTCAGAGGAGAACATTGTATTCTGAAAGATTCAGGCTCCCATACATCTCTCATCTGGGAAGTAGAATGTATTCCTCTCATATGGTAGTTCTCAAGTTTCACGTGTGCTTGCTTAAAATTTGCATTCCCAACAGACACTTACCCAATCAGGACCTTGGAGAGTGAGGCCTGGGAATCTAATTTTGAAGCAGGTGGTCTCCTGGTAAATTATATGCTAGTAGCTCTTTCTTCCACGGGTAGGGAAAAAGAAAAGTCATATTTTGGGAAAATGCTGCACACTTCCAGCTGGAAAAACAGTTTTTGTTAAGTGGGACATAGTGTGCTTGCAAAGTCTTGCTGTGGTCCCTCTTCCCTCGCTCTCCAGAGTCTGTGTAATTTCAGGGCTTGTCTAATCCTGCCGACTCTATTAGCAGATCCTGGATGTGCAGGCTCTCATTCTTGACATCTGAACCTCCATGCAAGGTTTAAGTGCCTGGGCATTGGAGATATTTCTCTTGGGGTTTTCTGCATGAGCAAGGCTGTGTTTCCACTGCCAGTGCTGCCCTCTGAAGCCCCTGGCTGGAAGGAAGAGTGTTCGGTCTCCCACTCCTGGGACAGAGGTCAAGGAGGGCTTTCCCATTACTGCCAGAGATAAGCAACAAGGGACTCTGGAGAGGAAAAATGCCAAGGAGGAGAGCAGGAAACAGGCCAAGGTCATGGGCAGCCTCACCTGTCCTGTCTTGGATTAGCAGTGGTCTACAGGTTAAATTAAATTGCATGCCCCTGATTCAAAGTGCTGCCCACGAGATAGCCACAGGGCTTCTTTGTATCTGCAAGGCACTCTCCCAGCTAGGTTTATTAGAGATGACTCATAGGTGGGGGTGTTGGAAAGGAAAACAATTCTTTCTTGAAATTTCTGGAGTGGAGTCCAGCTATTCCAAGTGCAGAAACTTCTTGGTCCGACTCCCTTTGACATCAGATTCCCTGAAGCTCAGGGCCTCCCAAACATCTGTCTGACCATGTCATGGTCCTCAGAAACCTTCAGCGGCTTCACAGCACCTGCAGATTCAAATGCAGACCCTTTGTCTTAGCTTTTGGGGTCTCCGCCACCTCCCCTTCCTCATGTTCCCACCGTTCGTGTTGTTCTCTTCACTTTAAAAGTTCTCATCACTTTAAAATCCTCATCGACCTTTAACTTTTAACCCTTGAACTCACCACACATGTCCTGCCCTCCAAACCTTTGTGCCAGAACTTGGCTTCACCTACCCTTGACACCTACCCGAGGACCTCCCTCATTCCCCATCATTCCCCCCATCCCACTTCCCTGAAATATTTTTTCATGATCTTATGACATCTGCAGTTATTTGATTTATCTGCTTATACATTTATCATCCTTCCCCATACACAGAGAGGCCGCATTAGTCTTGTTCATTGTGTATCTCCAGTACCTGGGGCACTCCAGACCAAGCTCAATGTTGAATGAATAAAAGGCCAGTTTCACGTTTAGCAGAGCTCTGCATAAGGGTTTTGAGACATCATGAGCTTTCCCATGAGGGCTGGGATATTTCCCATAAGTCTGAGTGTCTGAGGATCTTAGAAAAGGAAAAGACAAAGAAAACCAGGTCACAGTAACTTGGGATTTTGATTAGCCTTGTGAAGTCAAGCGTCTGTATTGGGAAGAATTAGGTGTTGTTTTAGGCTTGTCTCAAAGAAGGGCATTTTGACTCAGGTAGTCATAGCTCCCGGGAACTTTCTGCTTTACCCACACCTACACCCAAAATGATAAAGCAAAAAGTGTGCAAGTTGTGAAGGCATCTAGCATCGTGGTGAAAAGTTGGGCTTGGGACCTCTGTCTCTTACTGGCTATTTGACCTTAGGTAAGTTATCCAAATTTGATGAGCCTGAGTTTCTCACTCTGTAAAATGGGACTAACAATGGTTGCTACTTCTTAGGGCTGTTACGAGGATTAAATGAATGATGTAAAGCACTTAGGATATTACCTGACACATCATACATGTTAGTTCTTGTTATTTTCAGTGCCCTACCGTTTTTATGTCCTTCATGACCAACAGCAGTTCCAAATGTTTTTCAACCATCTTAGACTTTCTGGTGCCAAGAGCTGTGTCCTCTTTTTGTAGATTCCAAAATGTCTAAGTCAGCTTTTCCCAGTCTAACTCAGACATTTGTCTAACACTCTGTCATGATTTTATCATAATTACATATCCGCTCTACTATTTTTACTTATTTTCTATTTATGGCCTTTTTAAACTTAAATTTATTGAAAGATGAAAATATATCTCATTATCATAAATGAAAAATCAACATCACTTGCCATTAATATAAGGTGTGTTAGTCTGTTATGCATTGCTATAAAGGAATACCTGAGGCTGGGTAATTTATAAAGAAAAGTTTATTTGGCTCATGGTTCTGCAGGCTGTAAAAATATGGCACCGGCATCTTCTTGGCTTCTGGTAAGGTCTCGTAGCAGAAGGAGAAGGGGGAGCAGGGGTGTCACATGGCGAGAGAGGTAGCAAGAGAGATAGAAGGAAGTGCCAGGCTCCTCTAAACAATCAGATCTCAGGGTCTTTAACAGAGTGAGAACTCACTCATTACCATAGGGAAGGCACGAAGCCATTTGTGAAGGATCCACCCTCATGACCCAAACACCTTCCACTAGGTCCACTTCCAACTTGGAGGTCATGTTTCAACATGAGACTTGGAAGGGACAAATACTCAAACCATCTCATAAGGCAACCTGGAAAAAATAAATTTTCAAATGGAAAAATCCATTGATAAAACTCCCTGTGGATACTGCTACCTGTCGAAATCCGGGACTGGACATAACACGTGTTGGAGACACCTTCTCTCTGGTGCCATCAGATTGAAAGAGAATTGGAGAGGGACTTATGTCTCACCCTGTGATTCAGCATTGTCTCATATTGCCCATGTCCCTCTTTGCTCCCCTGCTGCACTCTTGGTAGTCCCAGATCTAACTTTTTCAGAGAGGAATTCAGAGCCCCATCAGGACCATGAAAGACCAAACAAGAGAAAACCTGGGGAATTGTGCACAAATATTCCAAAACAATCAGCTAGGCTGGTGGTTCTCACCTGAGCATGCATCCGATTCAACTAGAGGGCTCGTTCAGACCCAGAGTGCTGCCTGCTACAGCCTAGCCTCCGAGTGCTGGTTCAGCAGGTCTGCCGTGGGGCCCCAGAAAAGTTCCCAGGTGGTGCTTATGCTGCTGTTCTGAGGACGCTACTTTCAGAACCACTGAACTAGACTAATTGGAGGAATCAATGTTGAGTCTGTGCCTGCATATTCAAACCATTATTTTAAAGAGAACTGTCAAATCAGGAAGAGAGTAGGGGGCAACTGTAAAGTTCCTACTTCTGAGTTTAGTATTTGTGTCTATTTTCATACTAAATCTCCAAGCAGCCTGAGGGCCACCATCTGGCAAACATGTTGGCTGCTGGAAGTTAGGCTGGTATGTGCAAAATGGTAAGAGAATTCAAGGGGATATGAATGGGGCACTTATGGCATCTTCCACTGGGTGTATCTATCCTATTGACATAAAACTCTAAAAGAAAAGGACAAAGCCAGGCTGCAGTAATTTGTGATTTTTATTATCCTTGTGAAGTCAGGCAACTCGAGGGGAAAGAACAAGGTGTCCTCTTTGGCTCCTCTCAAAGGAAGACATTTTCATTCTAAATTCTTCAACTTTATGCCTCTAAAACTTAATACCTGGCACTGATTTCATTATAATTGGAAGCCCTGGTTGAATGTGTCCTACAGCTTGAGGCTTTAAGAAAAATGAGCGGCCACCTTTGGGACCACTGACCCGGGTTTTCTGTCAGGGCAAGTCAGTTAATCTCAGTTTTTCCATCTGTGAAATGGGAATGATAATAATGCCCATTTTGTGAGATTGTTATAAAGATTAAATGACATAGTATAAAATGAGTCTTCAAGTAAATGGAAGATGATGAGAAGAATTGTGATGATGATCATGGATACAGGCTAATGGGAAAAGCATGATATTTGATATTTTTTTAAAACATGAAGTCCATGTGGGCAATGCTAATAAAACAGCTGCCATCCACTGTTGGACCACCCAAGACTGACCTGAGAGAGTAGGATACTAGAAGCCTGTCTCCAGAGTTAATTTCCTGGTTTGCTAAGGATATGCCTTTGCAGGAGCTGCCCCATCTCATCTCACATCTTAGTATCCACAGCACCCAGAGCTTTCCAGACCACTGGGGGCATCCTATCTATCCACCTATCCATCTACCTACCCATCCACCATCCATCCATCCATCCACCCACCCACCCACCCATCTATCCATTTATTTATCTATTCACTTCCCCATCTATCCATCTATCCACACATCAGCCATCAATCTATCTGTTCATTCATCTCCCATCCATTCATCTATTCATCTATCTACCCATCTATCCACCCACTCATCCACCCACCCGTCCATCCACGTACCCATTTATCCATCTATTCATCCACTCATCCATCTACCATCCATCCATCTGTTCAGCCACCTGTTAATCTATCCACCCATTCATCCACCCAGCCATGCATCCATCCATCTACCAATTTATGCATCCAACTACCCATCCATCCATCTGTGAATCCATTCACCCATTCATCTACTCACCCATCTATCCCCCATCCATCTACCCATCCATTCATCCACTCATCCACCCATCCACCCATCCATCCATCCGTCCATCCATCCATCCATCCATCCATCCACCCACCCACCTGTCCACTCACTCAGCCATTCACCTATCCATCTTTCTCTCTCTTTATCTTTCTCAGGTTAAAGTGCCACAACAAATGCACCAAAGAAGCCCCACCCTGTCATCTTCTGATCATCCACCGAGGAGGTAAGTATTTAACACTTACTGCCCTAGGGGTAGGGGTGAGGTGGGGCTCCTGCAGGTCCCGCACATAGCTGTCCCACTCGGGTTGGTTCTGAATACCTCCTGATCCCCACCTAGTTCCCCACATGGTTTCTTCCTCTCTAACACCATTCTTCCTGGCATCTGTCTCCTTTATCCTCCCCTATGCCTCTTCTCTCTATTTCTTGCCCCTCTACTGGTCCCTCAGACACTTTAGCCCCTTTTGTCTCCCCACTTAACCCCTGCTCTCTCATCCTGCCTCCTGTCCTAACTTCTAGCCTCTTCTGTTTACCAATCCCATTGCTTTTCTTCCCACCAAAAAGAGCACTGGCTGGGTGTTTTTCCATTGTGTGTTCGCTAGATTTAATCAATTGGCCTTGCAAAAGTAGGCATGAGGAGGGGTACGTCTTGGGCCTGTTGGATTGGGCCATCTGTGTCCTGTCTCCTGGGGCCCTAGGAGTGTTCGAGCCAACCTATCCAGGCAAGGAAGTAGCAGCCCTGGGAGAGCCACTACCAGGATTCCACTGCAAAAGCAAGACAAATCTGGCTGAAAGGAAAGGCTTTTCCCTGACTGCCAAGGACTTACTTATAAGGGACACTGTCTTGGGAACTCTTATAATACAACTTTCAAAATAGTTCCCCTGATCCTTGCCCAATGGGATGATCACCCCCAAACTCCATTATCCATATTGAAATTTATCCCTGAGGGACTTTCTGGACCTGTGCTGCCCAATACAGTAGCTACTAGCTACAGTTGACTATTTAAATTTAGATTAATTAAAATCAAATAAAAACACAAATTTAATTACTCAGTCACACCAGCCACATTTCAAGGGCTTATACTGGTACAAATATAGAACATTTTATTAATTGCAGAAAGTTCTACTGCACACCATAGGCCAGATCCTTGCTATTCAAAGCGTTGTCCATGGACCAGCAGCATTAGGATCGCCTGGGAGCTTGTTAGAAATGCACGACTTGTGAGGCCGGGCGCGGTGGCTCACACCTATAATCCCAGCACTTTGGGAGGCCGAGGCAGGCGGATCATGAGGTCAGGAGATCGAGACCATCCTGGCCAACATGGTGAAACCCCATCTCTGCTAAAAAAAAAAAAAAATACAAAAATTAGCCGGGTGTAGTGGCAGACACCTGTAGTCCCAGCTACTCAGGAGGCTGAGGCAGGAAAAAAATTAGCCGGGTGTAGTGGCAGACACCTGTAGTCCCAGCTACTCAGGAGGCTGAGGCAGGAAAATGGCATGAACCCGGGAGGTGGAGCTTGCAGTGAGCTGAGATCATGCTACTGCACTCCAGCCTGGGCAACAGAGTGACACTCCATCTCAAAAAAAAAAAAAAAAAAAGAAAGAAAAGAAAAGAAATGCATGATTTATGGCTCCATCCCAGACCTACTGAATGAGAATCTGCATTTTAAACAGGATCTGCAGGGAATTCCCATGCACCTTAAAGTGGAGAAGCACTCTCTGGAGCAGGAGTCAGACATAAACTGAGATGCCTACGAGGGCCAAGTAGATGTCCTAAATGAGAGAAGTTGGCCAGATGGGGCTGTAGGACACTGGAAAACCCAAGTGCCATCTAGAGAGGGTAGCCAGCCACTCCAGCCATGTGGACCTACATTGCCAGCATTTCTGACATTTCCAACAAAAGCCCAAATAGAGAATTTTGTGTGCCATATGCTTATTTTTTATTTACTCAGTGTTTTTTGAGACGGAGTCTCGCTCTGTCACCCAGGATGGAGTGCAGTGGTGCAATCTCGGCTCGCTGCAACCTCTGCCTCCCGGGTTCAAGCGATTCTCCTGCCTCAGCCTCCTGAGTAGCTGGGATTACAGGCACACGCCACCTCGCCCGGCTAATTTTTGTATTTTTAGTAGAGGCGGGGTTTCACCATGTTGGCCAGAATGATCTCAGTCTCCTGAGCTCCAGTGATCCACCCGCCTCGGCCTCCCAAAGTGCTGGGATTACAGGTGTGAGCCACTGTGCCTGGCCCATATGCTTATTTTTAAATGTAAGCAGTTTATTAAAATCTTTTAAACTCATGCTGGTCACCTCCCTTCAAACCCCTCATCTATAGGATGGATAGAGCCTTCAAATCACCAGGGAGCAACTTTAGAGTACAGCAACTTGCTAATCGGACATGGAGTCCTCCTTCCCTGTCCTCCCACTTTCCCACTCCCATGTCCCCTGGCCTTGGTCAGTACATATTCCTGGGAATCTGCCCTAATTCAGAATGAACCCAAGGGAAACTTAAAGAAGGAGGCAAATTGCTGCTGAAAGCACTGTGATGTGTCCCAAAGCCAACTTTCAATGATCTTTGCATTGTTTATCTCCAAAAACACAGAAAATTGCAAGTGAAGGCAAAGTCTTCAGCTCCTTTCTCTTACCCTTCCCACCCCACATCCTTAATTGAGAGCCATCTGTTCCTTGAATAACTGTATACACTCAATAAGGCTATTTTAAAGTTTGAATTCTCACCTCTCTTGAGACCCTGCCTTGGGTCAGCCTCATTGGAAAAATTGCCTCCCACCAAATTCTCCTCTGTAAAAGGTTCTGCTAGCAGCTGATTCCCATATGGACAGAACCAGCCTGTTGGAAGGTGATGGCTCTCAAAGGCTGACGTTTGAAGAAGGGCTCCCTCCCACCCACCCTCAAGGCCATGCCTCCTTTTGTTCAAGGGTGGCAGGTGTCTGTACATGCAGAGCAAACTGAACTTTGCAGAAATCCACCAGCTTCTTGCTTTTTCTCTCTGTTGGTTGGAAGTTGAAAATATAGTCAGTTTCCATGGTGATGGCAGCTCAGGCTAAGCAGAGAAATGAAATCCCTGGGTCAATCCAGAGCTTAAACTTCTCAACCAACACCCTCCCCTCACCACTGCAATAAAAACAAAAAACAAAAAACAGCTAACAAGTAACAATACCAGGCATCAGATTTGATTTTGACCTTCTCATTTTTGTCCCTTACTGTGTTCTCCTGTGAGTAATAGAAATAACAGAAGGGAGAGGGGTTTGGGCGACATGATTTGGATCAGGAAGCATTTATTTAGCATCTACTATGTGCCTAGCTTCCTGGAACAGCTGTCTTTCCTTCAGGGATCCAGGGTTGTTTAGAACAAAGTGTTTCAATGTGCGGCAGGCTGCTTAGGCCTGAGAAATCCCAAAAGTAATGAAAGATGATCCTAACACAGAGGTTAGAAAGTTAGGGACAGGGCACCGTGATGAGCTTTTCCACTCATCACAGGCCCTGAGAAATCAGGAATCTCGTGTATTTAAAATGAATTTTGAGTCTGCCAATATGAAACAATTATGGTATTTTTAAAACCCTGATAGCTTTAGTTTTATTATTATCATCTTAATTGTCAAAAGTCATATATGGACAACAGAAATATGTTGCAAACCACAGAGAATACCCTGATCCCACCACAGAACGATGATCACTTTTAGTGAATTGTCCTCCAGTCTGGAAGCTGGGCCTAAGAGGTGGGATCTGAGCTATGCTCTCCTGGCATAACCAAAGACAAAGTGATACTTAAATTCCCAAATCAATGTTTTTACCCCTACGGATCCAGCAAGGTTAGTCCGGACAGAGTCCGTTCCATGTGACATCAACAACCCTCTACGGAAGCCACCTCGGTATTCAGACCTGCACATCAGTCAGACGCTCCCCAAAACCAACAAAATCAACAAGGTAAGGCTGGGCTTCCGCTGGGTCTGGGCATGTGGAGCTGGCACTGCTGGGTGAGGGGGTAGGAGGGTGGAAGGGTTGATCTGGAAGTATGGCACTCCCTCCCAACCCGTCTCAGCTTCCCTAATTCTGTGATGTTTGTGTTGAGTAAAGCTTGAGGGACATCCAGCAATCAGTGGAGAGGTTTGTGTGCCAGAAATCTAATTTAGAGAGAGGCCATGTCGGAATGAGAATGGATGAGGGTGTCCAGGAAGGCACAATGGATGGGAGGAGAGACTTAAAAGGAGTTTCGTTAGTGGTCCAGACCTCACTTGCTTTGCTCTGTGACAGGTTTTGCCATCTGTATTAGTCTGTGTCATGCTGCTGATAAAGACATACCTGAGACTGGGTAATTGATGAAGAAAAAGAGGTTTAATGGTCTCACAGTTCTGTGTGACTAGGGAGGCCTCACAATCATGGCGGAAGGTGAAAGGCACATCTTATATGATGGCAGACAAGAGACGGCTTATGCAGGGAAACTCCCCTCTATAAAGCCATCAGATCTTGTGAGGCTTATTCCCTATCACGAGAATTGCACAGGAAAGACCAGGCCCCGTGATTCAATTACCTCCCACTGGGTCCCTCGCATGACATGTGGGAATGGTGGGAGCTACAATTCAAGATGAGATTTGGGTGGCGACCCTGCCACACTATAACACCATCTTCCAGGACCAACTTTGCAGATGGTTCTGGGCTTTCTGACACATCTGTCGGATCAGACCTCCAAGGAATAGGGGTCTATTTCTGAGCTTCTGGTAGAAGCTGGATGGGTGGGTTTTCTTTGGGGCCCTGAGCTCTGAGCAACAGGCAATTTGGTTGGCTTCTACCCTCAGACAGAGGTCAGCACTGGGCCCCTCTGTGCATCTTTCTTTCAGTTGTGGCCCAGAAATTTCTGGCATGATTTCCATATCCTTTATTTGATCTGCTGATGGGACTGTACTAAATCTATCCCAGGGGTATGCCCAGCCTCACAGTAGGAAGCAAAGGTTGCACACACCAGCAGGTGATTTCCTAAGCATCTCAAAGCTTTCATGCATTATGTCGAAGATAGATGTCTTAGTCCATTTGCACTGCTATAAAGGAATATCTGAGGCTGGGTAATTTATAAAGAAAAATGTTTATTTGGCTGACAGTTCTGCAGTCTGTACAAGAAGCCTGACACCAGCATCTGCTTCTGGGGAAGCCACAGGCTGCTTCTACTCATGTTGGACAGTGAAGGGAAGCAGGCATCACAAGGCGAAAGGAAGGAAGGAAACGTGTGTGTGAGAGAGAGAAGGAGGGAGAGGGAGAGGGAGAGAGAAGAGGGGAGGCGCGGGGAGAAGAGGGGAGGGAGGGGAGGGAAGGCAAGGGGAGAGAGGTGCCAGGCTCTTTTAAACAGCCAGCTCTAGCAGGAATTAATAGGGTGAGAACTCACTCATTACTGCAAAAAAAAAAAAAAAAAAAAAAAAAAAGAGACCACACTCTTCATGAGGGATCCACCCCTGTGACCCAAGCACCTCCCACTAGGCCCTACCTCCAACATTGGGTTCAAATTTCAACATGAGATTTGGAGGAGACAAATATCCAAACTGTATCAGTGGAAAAAGCGCATTAGCCCAAGGATCAGGAGGGCACTGACCTGTGTTCAGGTCCTAGAGGAACATCGTGATAGCCGAGTCACTATTCATTGGCAACGCACAGAGAGAGGATTGCCCCCTTCCCAATGCATTTCCCACACATCAGCCAGAGTGATACTTAATGAATGCAATTTGAATGATGCCATGCCCTGCTTAAAAACCATCCAATAGCTTTTGATTGCATCTAGAAAACAAATCAGACTCTACTGCAGCCTGAAAGGCCGTGCATCATTTGGTCCCTCCTCTATCTCCGACCTCTCCTTCCATGTCTCCCCACAAAGCTCATGTGTCCCCTTTCTCTTGAGCTATCTCCCCCGCCATTTTTATCTAGAAGTCGTTTACCATCTGGCTCCTTGTGGCATCATTTCAGCAGTTGAGTGAAGCTGGCTTCTGGAATCAGGCAAACCTGGCAGCCAGCCAGGGCTTCCTCTGTTTATTAGCTGTGAGACTGAGCAAGTAACTTAATCTCTCCAAGTCTCAGTTTTCCTGTATGTAAAATGGGGGTGTTCCAGTTATCTACTGCAGCACAACAAACTACCCAAACTTAGTGGCATATGACAATCATCCTTTTATTATACTCACAGAATCTGTAGGTCAGGAATTAGGACAGAGAGCAGAGGGAGTGGTTTGTCTCTGCTCCATGATGGGAATCAACTGGGAAGACTCACACAGATAAAGGCTGGAGTCATCTAAAACAGGGATTGACAAACTATGGCCTACAGGCCAAATCCAGCCCACCACCTACTTTCGTAAATAAAATTTTATTGAAACACAGTCATACCCATATTTCTGTGGCTGCTTTTGTGCTATAATGTCAGAGTTGGGTAGTCATGACAGAAACTGCATGGCCTGCAAAGCCTAAATTATTTACTGTCAGAATCTTTACAGAAAAGGTTTTTTGACCCCTGATTCAGAGGCTCTTTCACTCCATGTCTGGTGCCTGGGCTGGGTTGAGTCGAAGCGTGGGTTCAGCAGAGTTGTCAACTAGAGCACCTGTATATGGACTTGCTGTAATGCTTGGGTGTCCTCACAATATGGCTGCCTCAGGGTAGTTGGGCTTCTTACATGGCAGCTCATGGCTCAAAGAGCAACTGAATTAGCAAACAGGTGGAACTTTGGCAGTGTCACTTCTGCTGCACTTTACTGATGGAAGCAGTCACAAGCCTGCTCAGATTCAAAGGGAAGAAACACAGACCTCAACTCTTAGTGGGAAGAGTCCACAGATTTGTAGTCATATTTTAAATTGCCCATGGCAGGCAATAAGAACACCAACCTCAGACAGTTGTTATGAGGATGGAATTCAATAATCAACATTTAAATGCACTCAGTGTACTTACCGGCCCACAGTTAATATCCAGGAGATTCTAGCTATTATTATCAGCTTAAATTTAGGGGCCTTTGATCAAAACGTCAGGCTGGGTCCACTTTTCCTTTGTTATTCGCAAGAGATACAGGTCTTTAGGAGAGGGGATCCCCACTGCTGGGAGGGCTGAGTAAGTTCAAATAGCAAGGCTTCTGGGAACTATAGTAACTGTGCATCCCTTAGAACCCATTCTTTCCTTTGTGACATTTTGAGGGGTGAGGAGCTCAGAACCACCTTGAGACCTTTCTCTCTGGCTTTATAGGCACCATGAGCCTCTTGGTGTCAGATGAAACTGAAACATAGGTCAGATAGATCACTGACTGTGACATTGTTCTACTTGTCTGCCAGCAGGAGAATTTGATAAGGGAAATAAATTAACCTCTATTAAGAAAGCAGCTTTGACATGAAGGTGGACAGGATCTATCATAGGGCTGGGTTATTTTTTCCCCTCTTTCCCTTCTTGCTGGCTTCACACAGATTCTTCTTGTCAGGCAATGACGTGGTTAGTGCAATAAGTTTCTGAGCCAATTTGGTCTGAAGATTTTTTTTCACTGCTCTTTGTCTTGTCTCCTGTCTAGTTCAGTCAATCCAGTTCACAAAGGCCCTACTTTTTCACCTAGCACAGTGGTTAGAGTGTAGATTTTGGAGTCAGGAAGTCTGGGCTTGCAACTCAGCTCTTTAACTTGCTGTGTGATTGTGGGCTAGTTATCTCAAGATCTGTCTGCCTTAGATTTCCTTTATGTAAAATAGACATAATAGGAGGTATTATTGGGGTTGCAGACAGGATTCGATGTATGATATGTATAAAGGATTTTGGTCCAATGCTGAGTACTCAGGGCATGGAAGTAGCTTGATGATGACGAAGACAGAGAAACAGGAGAAGGAAGAGGCAGAAGGAACAGGAAGGGGGAAGGAGGAGGAAAGGAAGCAGGAAGAGGAAGAGAAGGAGAAAGAAGGAGGAAGAAGAGGAAGACAGAGTGGGGTGGATGAGGAGAATGGAGGAGGGGGAAGGAGGAGAAGCAGCAGTAGTAGCATCTGCCAATTCCTTATGGGACCAGTCTACAACCCTTGTACTTCCACATCAAGGCATCAAAACTACCATCTGCAGTAGTGGCAGAGGCTGAATCTCTGCCTGCTGTATTCAAGCTGTTTGAAGTGCCTGCATGCTGGCTTACTTTTGTTGGTTGGTTGCAAGGTACAGAGACCTGCCTAGGCTGGCTCTGCAAAATGAGTTGTCTTTTGTAAAGGGTGGACATGGGGCAATTCAGAGAAAGGGAAATCATCATTTAGGATCTGGACCTTATGAAACTAGACATGGAGGACAGTCTTGAGCTCAATCCAGCTCCTTGGACCCAAAGTAAGCCCATGGGCCATTATTTTGGTCTTCCATCATGTCCCTGACTCAGCTACTCTTTGTGGGTCTGCTCTGATGTGTTGTTACTGTTGGCTGGTTTCTTCATCTTCTACTTTTGTCTTTCTTTCCTTTATCATTGCTTCTGCCTCCATATAGTTCCTACTCCTTATGACCTTTGGCTTCTTTGTTTTCTGGCCTGTTGTGGCTCCCCTGTTCTCTTTGAACCTCATCTTATCTCAGCCTTTGCTCCTAATGCTCTTCTTCCTAATGGCGTATCTCATCATTCTATCCCATATTATAGGTCACTGGTCAGCTGCCATTATGCTCTGGCCTATGGTCCTGTGTTGGGAGTGGGCTATGGAGGTCACAAGACAGGTGTGTCTGTTTAGGACAGTCCATTGAACAAAGGCTGTTGGGTTGGAGGGTGAGGACAGTTTCCTTAGAAAGTTTCCATGGGAGAACAGTGACCATCACCACCATGTCCAAATCAGTGCTTAGCTGAGTGAAGTGAAAACCTGGGTGATGAACGTGCTTCTATTTGAGTTCCAGAGTCAGATGTGAATTTCTTATTACTTGGCACAACCTTGTGTTTCTGCTTCTGGGCCAGGACTTGGGACCTGGGCCACTAATG